GAAAAGATACTTTGATAATATAAATTATGTAGTAATTCAGACTTGTTTAATCATTCTCAGAAGAAAGTACTTGAAAAATCAAACTACTTCATAATAATTTTTATTATTGTGATAAAAATTTTGATTTAAACTTATGAGAAAAAAATCTCATTTGATTGATTTAGATTTTCTATACAAACTGTTACACATCAACTAACTAATGTATATATTGTTTTTCAAATTATACCGATTAGTTTAACTATTCTTTACGACAACATAATGGTATCATAAGCCACTATAAAAACAAAAATAAAATTAAATGTCTTGTGAATACCAGAGCAAATTGTTCAAATGTCCATTATTTTTCAGTGTTTTTTTCTTCATCCAACTTTAATGTTTGTGTTTGATGCAGGACTAACAGCAACAGAAAACAACAACTGCCAACAGTCAGTTTGTCAAATGGAATGAAATAAGAAGTCAGTTCTTTATAACTTTCAATATGAAGACGGGCAAACAAACATAAAAGTTTGACTTCATTATTGCGTTTTTTTTTCTACTCATTTCGAAGAATTCATATCTTGTTAAGTTTTTCATTTTATTTCGTTGAAATCCTGACGGTAGCAGTAGTTCATGTCCTTTCGAGCAGTTTTCAACATAAAACAGGATGATTGCAATGATGATACCAGTAATATTAAGAGAACAAATAAGCAATCTGAATTGAAATAGAAGGAAAAGTGCAAATACATACTACTCTCTACTATTTATTTGTTTTGTATTTATGTATATTGTACCGTCTGTATGTCCTTTAGATTTTGTATATTTGTTTATTTATGAAAAAATTACAATAAAAATATCTTTAAAACAACTAAACAAACAGTTGTCCAAAATAGAAAAAAAAATCAACTGAAAGTCTGATTTTACATTTTTATTTTAAGTACACATTATGAATAGTCCTGGTTAAAATTCATTTTCCATTTGTATTGTCTAGTTGAGTTCACTTTGTCGTAAAACTCATTTAAGAATTCAAATGGTTTTGAACCATTTAACTGCATATCACTCATTTACTACAAGACTGATATAATTTAAAAAACTTCTTCTTTAAAGCCAATGTGCTGGCTTTAAACTGTTTATGTTATTTTATACTTCTTAAATTAAACAAATTATGCGATTTAAAAAATTAAACCAAATTTTAATAGAAAATATTAATACCTTTCTGATCTGTAACTGGTTTCCGTAAATCTGTCTCAGATATTCACTGCATGCTTGAAATTCACATATACCCCATTAAATGGCAGGATGCAAGGGTAATATTTATACCTAAACCAGGGAAACCTAGCTAAGCGACACCTAAGTCTTATCGATCGATAAGTCTTACGTCCTTCCCACTTAAAACCTTGGAACGGATAGTCGATAGTATGGTTAAAAGCAGTATACCCGACAAAGACATAAAATTTAAGCAGCATGCTTATGTAAAGGGACGATCGGTGGAAACCGCTTTAAACGAAGTTGTCCACTACATAGGTGCATCCTTTGATAGCAAACTGTATACACTGGCGGTATGCATTGACATCGAAGGCGCCTTCAATAACGTGCACACTGATACTCTTATCCAATCCCCAGACCAGTTTTATGTTGACCGGGTGCTCCGTAACTGGATCAACCACATGCTAAGGAACAGATTGATAAGCAGCGAGATGTACGATATATTTATCAGGAAAAAGGTATTTCGCGGTATACCATAGGGTGGCATTTTGTCACCTTTACTCTGGGTTAGCAGAGTAAAGCAGAAAGGACTTAGACCTGTCTGCTATGCAGACGATGTCGTAATACTTTTAAAGGGAAATGATCCAAATTACTTGTGTAGAAGAGCTGAGGAGGCTCTGAATACGGCCTTGTGCTGGGATCAACCGAGAGGTCTAAATGTTAACCAGGCAAAAATCTGTCTTTTCACAAGAAAGACAAAAATTTCTACGTATACTGAACCTTGCTTCCTGGGCAAGAAGATACCAGTGACAGACAAAGTTAAGTACTTAGGTGTAATCCTCGACCGGAAATTAATGGAGACACATAGAGGATAGGATCAACAAGGCACATCGGTGCTGGGCTAGAACTGTGCGGTCTTAGTCCTACTATGACAAATTGGCTTTATAAAACTGTAATTAGACCAATTCTAGCTTATGCTTCAATAATCGAATAGCTAGCTTTAGACAAAAAGTGCAATATCAAACTACTACAGAGAGTTCAGCATACATGCTGCTTGGGTATAAGTGGTGCCATGTGTACTACTTCAACTAAGACTCTGGAAACGTTGCTAGATATTCCACCCATTGAAACATATTTAAGATATGAGGCGGCGCTTACAGCCGAACGGCTCTTTACTTTAGGCGAACTGGCCCAAAGCAGTTATAGGACACGTCATCAATGTATAATTGATTCGAAGGCTATACATAATCATATGATCGCTTACTAGACACAGAATATGTCGGAAACTTTTAAATGCTGATCCCAGATAGAATGTCTTGGTCAAGCGGAACATTAAAGCAAATACCAGTAGGAATAAATATGGCGCCCACAGCGCTTAATATGTTTACCGACATCCAGAAGGCAATTAAGGCGTTATCAGGTAGAACTAAATCTAAGACCGTATTGGATTATAAGAAAGCTTTAATTGAATACTCTCCCAGAGGTAAGGTTCACATCATATGGGTACCAGCCCACTCGGGAGTAGTCGGTAACGAAAGGGCGAAACGCAAAACCGTTCGACGCAACAAAAGCTGAACTAAAAATATAGGAGAGAGAATCCCATAAGGCCTCTTGGAATAATGAAATAGTGGTTAGAACCACGAAGATCCCATGCGGTGACCCTGATGAGAGCAAGACGAAAAATCTCCTCAAAATGAGCAAGTCTGAAGTTAGTATGATGGTACGTATTCTGAGTGAACACACAGGATTACGAGCACATGTATGCAAAATTGAACGTGCGGATTCAGACGAATGTAAAGCATGTGGAGAGGACAGTGAAACTCTGGAGCACTTTCTTTGCCACTGCCAGGCATTCGTCAAAGTTAGATCCAAGTATCTTGGAAGTGATGTTATTCCGGAAATAACATTCCTGACTAACACTAGGAAACTGAGTTTCTGAACACTGAAAAATAATTCATTCAGTTCATTTTTTCATGATAAGGAGCGCACAACAGGCCCGGTAGTAGCCTAGGCGTATTTCTTCGGATTTGATGTAGTATACATCCTCCTATCAACCTACCTACCTACCTACTCTAAATTTTAATTTTTCATGATAAGGAGCGCACAACAGGCCCGGTAGTAGCCTAGGCGTATTTCTTCGGATTTGATGTAGTATACATCCTTCTATCAACCTACCTACCTACTCTAAATTTTAATTTATCAAGTATTCGTGAAATCATGAGTTTTAGTTTTGCCGTTTATAACAAAAGATCACTCTAATACCGAAAGTATTAAACAGTTTTGACATGGAAAAAGCAGCTTTGAACTTAATAAGCTGGGTTCAATTCTAGTTAAGTTCAGTTCTAGTTCAGTTCTAGTTTAGTTCTAGTTTAGTTCTAGTTTAGTTCTAGTTTAGTTCTAGTTAGTTCTAGTTCAGTTCTAGTTCAGTTCTAGTTCAGTTCTAGTTCAGTTCTAGTTCAGTTCTAGTTCAGTTCTAGTTCAGTTCTTCTAGTTCAGTTGTAGTTCAGTTCTAGTTCAGTTCTAGTCCAGTTCTAGTTCAGTTCTAGTTCAGTTCTAGTTCAGTTCTAGTTCAGTTCTAGTTCAGTTCTAGTTCAGTTCTAGTTCAGTTCTAGTTCAGTTCTAGTTCAGTTCTAGTTCAGTTCTAGTTCAGTTCTAGTTCAGTTCTAGTTCAGTTCTAGTTCAGTTCTAGTTCAGTTCTAGTTCAGTTCTAGTTCAGTTCTAGTTCAGTTCTAGTTCAGTTCTAGTTCAGTTCTAGTTCAGTTCTAGTTCAGTTCTTGTTCAGTTCTAGTTCAGTTCTAGTTCAGTTCTAGTTCAGTTCTAGTTCAGTTCTAGTTCAGTTCTAGTTCAGTTCTAGTTCAGTTCTAGTTCAGTTCTAGTTCAGTTCTAGTTCAGTTCTAGTTCAGTTCTAGTTCAGTTCTAGTTCAGTTCAGTTCTAGTTCAGTTCTAGTTCAGTTCTAGTTCAGTTCTAGTTCAGTTCTAGTTCAGTTCTAGTTCAGTTCTAGTTCAGTTCTAGTTCAGTTCTAGTTCAGTTCTAGTTCAGTTCTAGTTCAGTTCAGTTCTAGTTCAGTTCTAGTTCAGTTCTAGTTCAGTTCTAGTTCAGTTCTAGTTCAGTTCTAGTTCAGTTCTAGTTCAGTTCTAGTTCAGTTCTAGTCCAGTTCTAGTTCAGTTCTAGTCCAGTTCTAGTCCAGTTCTAGTTCAGTTCTAGTTCAGTTCTAGTTCAGTTCTAGTTCAGTTCTAGTTCAGTTCTAGTTCAGTTCTAGTTCAGTTCTAGTTCAGTTCTAGTTCAGTTCTAGTTCAGTTCTAGTTCAGTTCTAGTTCAGTTCTAGTTCAGTTCTAGTTCAGTTCTAGTTCAGTTCTAGTTCAGTTCTAGTTCAGTTCTAGTTCAGTTCTACTTCAGTTCTAGTTCAGTTCTAGTTCAGTTCTAGTTCAGTTCTAGTTCAGTTCTAGTTTAGTTCTGGTTCAGTTCTAGTTCAGTTCTAAGTTGTGTTTTGCATGTTATGTTTTCTTATTTCCGAACTTCCCCCACCGTGTGCTATAGGCCCTTATAACATTACTGTAAAGTTTTATGTTTTGTCACTTAAGCATTTTTCGCCGTTAAAGCTAAATATGAATTTAAAATTCTCAGAACACCATGAATTATTATGGATTGTATTGTTTCCTTTGTATTGTTAACTACTTATGTATTTTGTAAATAACATTTCAAACATTTAAATAGAAAGAATTTTTAATCTTCTTATTTCCAGCAATTGTATAAAAATATTCCATTTTATGCATACATATAACTAAATATTCTATTTCACTTTTTTCTTCTTTTGCAGGTAAGAAATGTCGATATTGCTTTTTGACTTGTAAGTATGTAATCAAATAGACGTGGTTATCGATTGTACAGTATTGTGTGATAACTATTTTTATGATAACATTAAATTTTTTATTCATTTGACGGACGTTATGAGAAAACCAAAATTAATTCAATTCGAAATTAACTGTTCGAAACTGAAGCAACTCTTAGTATTTTGTAGTTTATATCAGAAAGTAGCTTAGATTTTGTGCAATATTGTATATGTATTTTTGGCCGCTAACTAACTGGTCTCATATTCTCACTTAATTACACAAATACATTTACAGTAAAGGACAAAATTGTTGCACAAATACCATCAGAATAAAGAAATAATTTTATATGTTATACTAGAGTCCTCGGTAGGAGTCTAAAACACTACCAACTAACCTAAAAGAGGCAGCAATTATTTATACATATTTAAAATAAAGATAAATTTTCTTCATGAAATGTAGGCAATTTAATAGACACTGTAATCAACTCAACAGTGTTCACATTTCAAGGTAAATGTGGATGTATCAACATTGTGAAGCCATTAAAGTACTAGTTATCAGTGTGTTAAACGGCTTTTAATAGTAATTAGCAATTTTAACAGTGTATAAAATTCAATTGAACGGACAATATTGATTTTGTAAACGTAGTTGGTATAAATATAACCAAGGCGACACATCTGCAGTTGGATAGGTAGTAGAAAAATGGTAAAAATAATGTAGTTTATAAATAAAATATAATTATTAATTCAAACTGTAAGCTTTAAAAGAATTAATAACCTATCTTTTCCAATTTAATTATCTTTAAAGATATTTTAATTGTTCAAACGGATAACCTGAGACTTAATTCCAAGAAATAGTTTATAAGCTCCCAATGCAGTTGGATTAATTTCCAGATGATTCAATTGCTAAGAAACGTAAATTTTTACCTGAAAGATTAAATTTTGTTTAAATGTTTTGTTTAACCTTTAAATTTGCTGAAAGTTATTTAATTCAATGGAATTTAAAGAAATAATTTAAAATTACAATTTCTTAAAAACGAACAAAATTTGAAAAATTTCTTATATCGTGGCCACACTGTGTGAGTTTAATAATACAAATTCCTTTGCATACCTTAAGGAGGTTCAAATATAATTAATTGTCTACAATACAATTTGATAAGATAATGCAGTGACCTGGAGAAAAAGTAAATAAAAAATTTCATTGGTAATGCAGGTTGTAGATAAGGCAGTGTTTATAAATAAAGGGAAGTGGTTAATAAAATTAATGATTATTCACCAGTTCACTGTGGTTTTGAATCCCTTTTTGAGCTGTATATTTGATATATAGTATTTCGAATGGGAACTACTTGATATGGGAATCATTCACACGTTTTGAATAAAATTTAGCATTTCCAGAAAAAAAAATTTGGTCGTTGACGTACAAAAACGTACAGTATTACTTGAAACTTAATCAAAATGTTTTTAAACTACTTAGTAAATGCCAATTGCTTTCTAATAGACTAGACTATAGACTAGACTATAGACTAGACTATGGACTACACTATAGACTAGTATAGACTACACTATAGACTAGACTATAAGACTATAGACTAGACTATAGACTAGACTATAGACTAGACTATAGACTAGATATAGACTAGACTATAGACTAGACTATAGACTAAACTATAGACTAGACTATAGACTAGACTATAGACTAGACTATAGACTATACTATAGACTAGACTATAGACTAGACTATAGACTATAGACTAGACTATAGACTAGACTATAGACTAGACTATAGACTAGACTATAGACTAGACTATAGACTAGACTATAGACTAGACTATAGACTAGACTATAGACTAGACTATAGACTAGACTATAGACTAGACTATAGACTAGACTATAGACTAGACTATAGACTAGACTATAGACTAGACTATAGACTAGACTATAGACTAGACTATAGACTAGACTATAGACTAGACTATAGACTAGACTATAGACTAGACTATAGACTAGACTATAGACTAGACTATAGACTAGACTATAGACTAGACTATAGACTAGACTATAGACTAGACTATAGACTAGACTATAGACTAGACTATAGACTAGACTATAGACTAGACTATAGACTAGATTATAGACTAGAATATAGACTAGACTATAGACTAGACTAGAATATAGACTAGACTATAGACTAGACTATAGACTAGACTATAGACTAGACTATAGACTAGATTATAGACTAGAATATAGACTAGACTATAGACTAGACTAGAATATAGACTAGACTATAGACTAGACTATAGACTAGACTATAGACTAGACTATAGACTAGACTATAGACTAGACTATAGACTAGACTATAGACTAGACTATAGACTAGACTATAGACTAGACTATAGACTAGACTATAGACTAGACTATAGACTAGACTATAGACTAGATTATAGACTAGACTATAGACTAGACTATAGACTAGACTATAGACTAGACTATAGACTAGACTATAGACTAGACTATAGACTAGACTATAGACTAGATTATAGACTAGATTATAGACTAGACTATAGACTAGACTAGAATATAGACTAGACTATAGACTAGACTATAGACTAGACTATAGACTAGATTATAGACTAGAATATAGACTAGACTATAGACTAGACTATAGACTAGACTATAGACTAGACTATAGACTAGACTATAGACTAGACTATAGACTAGACTATAGACTAGACTATAGACTAGACTATAGACTAGACTATAGACTAGACTATAGACTAGACTATAGACTAGACTATAGACTAGACTATAGACTAGACTATAGACTAGACTATAGACTAGACTATAGACTAGACTATAGACTAGACTATAGACTAGACTATAGACTAGACTATAGACTAGACTATAGACTAGACTATAGACTAGACTATAGACTAGACTATAGGCTAGACTATAGACTAGACTATAGACCAGACTATAGACTAGACTATAGACTAGACTATAGACTAGACTATAGACTAGACTATAGACTAGACTATAGACTAGACTATAGACTAGACTATAGACTAGACTATAGACTAGACTATAGACTAGACTATAGACTAGACTATAGACTAGACTATAGACTAGACTATAGACTAGACTATAGACTAGACTATAGACTAGACTATAGACTAGACTATAGACTAGACTATAGACCAGACTATAGACAGACTATAGACTAGACTATAGACTAGACTATAGACTAGACTATAGACTAGACTATAGACTAGACTATAGACTAGACTATAGACTAGACTATAGACTAGACTATAGACTAGACTATAGACTAGACTATAGACTAGACTATAGACTAGACTATAGACTAGATATGACTAGACTATAGACTAGACTATAGACTAGACTAGACTATATAGACTAGACTATAGACTAGACTATAGACTAGACTATAGACTAGACTATAGACTAGACTATAGACTAGACTTAGACTAGACTATAGACTAGACTATAGACTAGACTATAGACTAGACTATAGACTAGACTATAGACTAGACTATAGACTAGACTATAGACTAGACTATAGACTAGACTATAGACTAGACTATAGACTAGACTATAGACTAGACTATAGACTAGACTATAGACCAGACTATAGACTAGACTATAGACTAGACTATAGACTAGACTATAGACTAGACTATAGACTAGACTATAGACTAAACTATAGACTAGACTATAGACTAGACTATAGACTAGACTATAGACTAGACTATAGACTAGACTAGACTAGACTAGACTAGACTAGACCAGACTATAGACTAGACTAGACCAGACTATAGACTAGACTATAGACTAGACTAGACTATAGACTAGACTATAGACTATACTATAGACTAGACTATAGACTAGACTATAGACTAGACTATAGACTAGACTATAGACTAGACGATAGACTAGACTATAGACTAGACTATAGACTAGACTATAGACTAGACGATAGACTAGACTATAGACTAGACTATAGACTAGACTATAGACTAGACTATAGACTAGACTATAGACTAGACTATAGACTAGACTATAGACTAGACTATAGACTAGACTATAGACTAGACTATAGACTAGACTATAGACTAGACTATAGACTAGACTATAGACTAGACTATAGACTGACTATAGACTAGACTATAGACTAGACTATAGACTAGACTATAGACTAGACTATAGACTAGACTATAGACTAGACTATAGACTAGACTACTAGACTAGACTATAGACTAGACTATAGACTAGACTATAGACTAGACTATAGACTAGACTATAGACTAGACTATAGACTAGACTATAGACTAGACTATAGACTAGACTATAGACTAGACTATAGACTAGACTATAGACTAGACTATAGACTAGACTATAGACTAGACTATAGACTAGACTATAGACTAGACTATAGACTAGACTATAGACTAGACTATAGACTAGACTATAGACTAGACTATAGACTAGACTATAGACTAGACTAGACTAAGACTAGACTAGACTAGACTAGACTATAGACTAGACTAGACTAGACTAGACTAGACTACTAGACTATAGACTAGACTAGACTACTAGACTATACTATAGACTAGACTAGACTATGACTAGACTAGACTAGACTAGACTAGACTAGACTAGACTAGACTAGACTAGACTAATAGACTATAGACTATAGACTATAGACTATAGACCTATAGACTATAGACTAGATAGACTAGAGACTATAGACTAGACTATAGACTAGACTATAGACTAGACTATAGGACTAGACTATAGACTAGACTATAGACTAGACTATAGACTAGGACTATAGACTAGACTATAGACTAGACTATAGACTAGACTATAGACTAGACTATAGACTAGACTATAGACTAGACTATAGACTAGACTATAGACTAGACTATAGACTAGACTATAGACTGACTAGACTAGACTATAGACTAGACTATAGACTAGACTATAGACTAGACTATAGACTAGACTATAGACTAGACTATAGACTAGACCTATAGACTAGACATAGACTAGACCTAGACTAGACTATAGACTAGACTATAGACTAGACTATAGACTAGGACTATAGACTAGACTATAGACTAGACTATAGACTAGACTATAGACTAGACTATAGACTAGACTATAGACTAGACTATAGACTAGACTATAGACTAGACTATAGACTAGACTATAGACTAGACTATAGACTAGACTATAGACT